GGGGGGAGAAATGGCGAGGGGGCGGGAGGGCAGGTGCACGAGGAGGAAGGAGCGGGGGGCGCGGAGGGCATGTAGGGAGAAGACTCAGTCGGGCATGCACCCGGCCTACGGGAAGCACAACTAAGCGAGAGGGAGAGGCGGCATGGACGTGGGGGGGCTAGGTAGCCGCAGGCCTCGAGCCCTTTTGCCGGAGATGCACACAAGAATCGTGATCCTGATGCGCCGCGAAAGCATACGTGTGATCGTGGTGTATTGCGTGAGGGATTCGCCGCCAACAAGCAATGGGATCCTATGCCCGCCCCGACAAGCGAACCTCAGAGCGTGCATCAGCCTCCTTTCGCGCCTGTCGATGAGTATTACCCTGTTTCTTTTTAATCGTTACTTCCTTCCTAGCACGTACGTATGGATTGGTACACTCCTACGGTAATGACCATGGTCATATCTTCATATGCCATTTGGGCGCCTTTCTTGGATGCGAGGACATCCGGAACATGAGATGGGAAAGCTGCCGATCGATTCCCCGCTTGCCCAACCATTCACCAGCTCCCTCCTTACGCGGGTCTCCTGCGCGACCATGTCCCTGCCCCTTGCCTCTCCACGAGGTGAGCAATTGCTGTATCTGCAGCTGTGCGTCCTGCAAAGTTGCCATCAGATGAAACGGCTCTTCGCCCTCGGGCCCTTCACGACCATCGCACTCTCTTCGTGCAGGAGACCGCTTGAACGCACCCACATCTGCAACAGCCGATGCCGGTCCAACTCCTTTTTCAGGAGCGAAACGCGCCTCTAGCGTCCGTGGCGCCATCTGGGCTTGCGCCTGGAGGGACATCACGGACCTTTGTGCAGCTCTTAAATCTTGCGTGGTGCCTTCAAGCTGAGTCTCAACGCGGACCAGTTCCAAGGCTTTGTATGTCGCGTCCGCCTTGAGCGTTGATATGGTGGCTTGCGCCGTCGAATCCTGTTTGGCGCATCGCAGCACCAGGTCGTCGTATGTATACCGCAAAGCTTGAAGCTCTTGCCTCACGCGTTCCGCCTCTCTACAGGCTGCCTGTCGCTCTTCGCGGAGCAAGCCCCTTTCGCGCTCCCATAGCTCCTGCATAGCCACTTTCGCTCTCTTTTCCTCCGCCGCCGCTCTACTTCGCTCCTCGTCCACCCGCCTTTGGAGGGCCGCTTCCGCCTCATCCTTGACTTCTTGAAGCTGTCGAGTGCAATCCTCTCGGACCGCAAGCAGTCGTTGGATTCTTTCCTCCGCAACGGTGAGGGCGTGCTGTGTCGCGACGTGCTTCGCTTTTCTTTCCTCAAGCTCCTTCATTAAGAAGGCTTTATCAAGCGAAAGCATGTGCTGTCCGTGCATGGTCTCCTCGGTTTGTCGTTTGAGTGTCTCATTCTCGGCCCTCATGTTTTCCACCATCTTATTTTGCAGGTGGCACCCCTGTGCGCGGTCGGCAGCTTTTGTTTCCGCCGTGTGCATTCTTGTAACGAGATCATCGTGTAGTTTTCCCCTCCCTTCTTGATCTTGAAGTCTGGCTCGGGCATGTTCCAGCTGTTCTTTTAATGAGGAAAATTCAGCTTGCTGCCTTGAAGCTTCTCTTACCAGCCGCTCCTGCTCCTGCGTGTGGAATTCGAGCTGATCACAGAGGCGTATCACACGCTGCTGGGAGTTTTGTAGCATTTTTTTGGTTCTCTCGTGCTCCTGCTTTAGGGAAAATGCCCATGCGTTTGCAACGAGCTGAATGTGCTCAAGCCATGACAATTTTAATGGTCGATTATTACAGCTTTCTCGCGGAGGATCATCTTTTTTACTGGTCTCGTGATCGTTGAATTCTACCATGCCTTGCATGCCCTCATCTATAGCATAATTTCCCGAGTGTGGAGGCCGACTATACAGCCTATTGCGACACTTCAAGGACTCGTAGTGCGAATAAGGTATTTGCAGATCTCTAGGGCTCAACATAAAAACTTTTTCCAAAGTTTCTGAGGTAGATGTTGGTCCTGAATGGAAGCTATTTGTCCTTTCCCTCTGCAAATTCTGCGTACGTTCCTTCCCCTGCCCTTCGCCTTCAACATTCTGCTCTTCGCAATACGTAGAGTCAGCGCCTTCCTTGATAAGCATAGTTTTCCTTGATGTGAATTACACCCCAAATGTGTTGGAAGTGCATGCCGGCAGGGGAAAAGTGAGGAATATTAGCTTTCAAACGTTTTGCTGCTTTTTTCATCTTCGCAATGAGTAAAAATCAATTGGGAATCCTAAAGGTTTATTGTTTTTGAGTGACGACCACGTGCTTCCAGGACATTCAAAAACTCAGGGCGCTGTCTGGCAAAATTCCGGGCTTGCGGCCCATGAATGGAACATAATGTATGAGTATGTGTATCACTACTGGGAAGAACGCCGCTATACCCCGCCGAGCGAAAGGCGATGGGCCACCCGGCGAAACAAGGGGAAATAATTACCTTTTCGCTTTGCAGGAGAGTGTCCCTGGATTCTTTCACCCCACATGGTAGCTTCTGTACTCTATAATTCTTTTGCGTACCAGTAAGGGGAATGCCATTGCCGTAAGTGGCACAGGTTGCACGTGAGGGTAGAAATCATGCCTCGCCATCGGACTCCAAAACTTAGTAGCCGCTTTGGATGCGCGAGACATAGTTCCAAATTCAATCATAAGCGGATCATGTTGCACCGATTCTTGCTCTTTTGTATTTCAAGCTTCATCCCGTTCGAACTATACTTATTAAATCATCAGGAGAGACCAAACCTCCCCACGAATATACCCCTCCCTTCAAAGAGCACGCTTCTGGTTTCATTCTGAGTAGATGGCCATGATTTTTGCATACATGTTATCAGAACGCCGCCATAGTCTGGCCTTACCATTATGCGAGCTGGAGAGACCAAAAAATCATTCTTTCAAAAACTATGTCATTTTTTTGGGGGGGCTTCCCCATCACAATCGCATGACAACCTGTGAAAGTAACGCACGTGCGCCAACATGATGCATGCGGGAAATGATCTCTTCTTTTCCTATGACCCCTTTCCTTTTCGATATATCACTTGCCATTTGCTCATGACATTAACAGTCTACTAGGGTCACGCGAGTTTTTTTAAATCCTGTTATCATATACATGGTGTTCACCGGCTCGGGCGAGACAATTCGAGTCTTGCGTGGAAAGGTGGCAGGTCCGCATCATTGTTGGCGAACCAGCTTCATCATTTTCAACAGATATGGCATGGCTGCTTTCTTCGACAACAAAAATCAGATTGCCAAAAAAGAAGCAGAGTATCAATTTACTTAACGAGTTTGCTTTTTGTGGGCATCTCTGCACTTGCCTTTCACATAATGGTGCCACCCTCAAGGCGTCGTGACGCCTCAACATGCCTGCGTCAACTTTCACCAAAAATTCCGCACGTACTTTATCCGAGCGTTGACACTTGCTCCCCTAACTTCTCGACTCCTGATGTGCCCTCTTACCCCATCGCGGTTCCCCCCTCTCCCCACTCTTCCGGTGGTATGGTCGGATCGATGCTGGTGTCTACCTTGCCGTCCTGTGGATTGGCTGCCGCGCATTCAGGCTCCACCCCCGCCGCCCCACCCTGTAGCATGATGACAAGGGCAGTCATATCGTCGTGCTTGGACCGGCGCGATTTCCCCGGGGGCAGGGCCCTGAGTTCCTCCACCGTCATCCCCAAGTCCTTGGCGCGACACTGAAGGGCGTGCGCGATCAAGCGCTGGCTTACGTGCATGGAGTCCCCGTCCGCGATGGCTCGTCCTACGAAACGCACGGCCTCCTCGTTCGAACACAGGTCCCAGACGCCATCCGAGGCAAGGATGACAAACTCCGCACTTGGGTCGTCCAAAATGTCTTCATATACACGCACCTCCGGCGTCGCTGTGATGTAAGGCGGCGTATAGGGCGGGGCAATGTACCGGCCTGCGCTCGAGTCTGAGCGGTTGGGCCGACCGTTGAATTCCGAGTACTTCAGGTAAGCGTCCCCCAAAGCCCTGGTGGGCTGCAGCCGGCCTTTCACGTAGCACGCGTTGGCGTGCTTGCACTTGACAATGTCGGGCTCCCCGGGGTGCGCTTGTGCCAACGCCGAAGCTTCCTTGGGGAGTTTGGCGTTGTGGTCCTCGCTGAGAGCCACGGCGTGGTAGTCTCCGCCTCGGCCAGTCCCGCTGACAGGGGACGCTTTCTTTCCCCGCTTTCCACCGGCCGCTTTCTCCGTGGGCGGGGGCGACCGCTTCCCAATCACAGCCCTGCAGTCCCCCGCGTTGGCCACGTACAGGTGGTGGCCCTTGATCAGCACCGCCAGCGCGCAGGCACCGACCTTGGCTACATGACCCAAGCCAATTTCGAAGGCGTGGTGCACCTTGTGGATGACGCCCCGGTCTGTCCGTTCGAAAGCTCGAACCAAGGCTTTAATCACCTGCTCCGACTCGGTGCGGTGGCCCATGTTCGCCAACTCGATCTCCAGATTCTTGCTCAGGTGCACGGAGGCATACTCGGCCACCTGCCATCCCCCATGCCCATCAAAGACGCCGCAAAAGATGTCCCCGCCCACGATCTCCCGAATTTCGTGCCGGTCCTCGATGAATTCATTGCCCGAGTATGTGGACAAAGAGTACTTTACCCGTTGGGGACGCGCAGGCGGCCGGGCATCAAAAGTGCCAGCGTCTTGACGGGAGGGAGTGAGGGCGGTCAGAGTCAGGATAGCAGCGACGGCACCGGCAAGGGAGATGGCTGTTGAGGAGTTTCCATTCGTGCTGGAGTGAGGACCGTGATGATCGTAAATGCTGGATGATAATGAGAGCGCAGTATGCGGGACGGAAGAAGAGGAAGACGGAGGGGAACACAAGGCGCGCTGCTGCTGGGAGGGGGCAGGGGATAGAATGTGTCCGGCACGACGACAAGGATCAGGAAATGAGATAATCAAGATTCAAACAGCCAACAATATGAGAAATATCTTCCCATATCGACGCTTTAGACCCGATCATGACAGGACGGGCACCAAAAGCGGACTTACCCGTGTGAAAGAGCAGGCGGACAAATATGACGATGGCGATAAAACACGAGCAAAGCGCGGCCGGAAAAAAGTCGCAGGCTTACCCGAGCTTACCGGCGCAGCAAGCCGTATTGAAGTCGTCGATGCTTTCCGCATAATCCTGGCAATGCCTGGATGGGTGGGAAAATGATCCAATAGATGGTCTTGCACGGGAGGTCTGCTCTGTCGCTGATGATCGAGGAGTCGATCACGCCGTGGAAACGCACAGTGCACAAGTATGGAATAACTAGGAAACAAGTCGATGCCTGCATTTGCATGCATGCGTGATGGGATAGGGTAAAGGCTCTGGCTGAGTTGAATGAAGCAGGTTTCGCTTCGAGAAAAGGATATAGTCACGTGCTTGTGGGTGTTTGCAAGGGCGTTTTGTTCCTATACATATGACGAGGTCAAAAGCCAAGAAAGGGGGTCAGGACGAGCCAAAAGTCGAGTGAACTGCGGCAAAAAAACATGGAGCACGTGGCATTTTCTCCAGATTTTGCTTTTTTACACTTTCATTCTGTGTGAAACGTGTCTTTCAATTTCCCTTCCATATCATGATGGCGCACCGTGGAGGACCAAGCGCGTGTAGCATACATCGGCGGGAGGGCCGATTGAATCGATCATACCGACCACTGCATTGACATCTCGGTATTCAGATGTCCTCGTCGACAAACCCTCCTCGGCAAGTTGTGCGAATGTGACTTCTTTCCGTCTACTTTCCTTGCCAATCCACTCATGGCCCATGCGATGGAAATACCTAGTATCTCGGATCCGGAGGAGCACTCCGTCCACGCGAAGAAAGTAACGCAGAAGCACAAACCAGCACGTTGGCATGACGCGTACCTTGACGTTGAGCGAGACAACGCCGTGGTCATGCAGTTCGTCTTCGTACAAGGTGACATCGTCGTAGAACAGAATCGGCTGGTCCCGGCATTGCAGCAACGAGCGGTCAATGACGCTTGCGTCGGCCACCTCCCACTCCAGCCCTGCGCTCCGCTCCTTTCTCTCCTCCACGTCCAATAGGGTGTCGCAAGGATCCGCCTCCACCTTATCCCTCTGACCTCCCCCCCTAACCCTCCTCAGAAGCTCTCCCTCGTAGTCGGTCCCGAACACCCAGTCGTACCGGACCTGCCGCAAACCCGCCCCTAGATGACCCGCCGCCCATCTACTTGCTTCAGGCACTCGTATCACTTCTACCTTTCCTTTCTCATTTGTGTCAACGTGACGCTCAGCCCATGAAATGAGAGCGCCCGTGGTGTTAAACCGGAGCCAGAAATCAGTTGTCGCTGGGAGGGCACCGCTCCTCATTTCCTCCTTCGAGTCCCCAAGCACTTCCTCCTCACTCCTCCCTGGGATAACAGAATGTCTGAGCTCCAGAAAGCTTTTTCCAAACAGAATTTCGGGGAGTGGAATGAAATTATGGCCTGCGTTGCTCAGATCAGCTGGGTGGTCGCCCGAGGCAGAGGCCCCTTCTTCACCGATGCCACTTCTAGTGCTCTGACCAGTCGTGCTGGGACAGCCAGCGCCAACTTCAGAGTAATTTCTGGTGTCATGGCTCGCCATCATCATGGAAGCAGCGTCCGTGAAATGTACGCTCCAAAAGTGCGCAATGCGCTGTGTGAGCGCCTCCCTCTCTTGGTCACTCAGGATGGGCCGTGCCCGCGAGCATACTTGCCACCCACCCAGGTCAATCCTTGTACTATCTTCACTTTTCTCGACACTGGCTCCGTTACGCTGTCCAAGAGTGCAGGGTTTGTTAATATAAGGTCGCGAAAAGTATCAAGAGGGAAAATGCGAGGAACAACGCCATGAGGAGGTCAGAAAGAGGACATTCTCACCCGTAGGACGGCTTCCTCTGCAACAGTAGCACCTGGCATCGCTTGAGATCTTCAACAGATACCTACCACGTAAATAATTTGTGAGAAAGGAGCATGTTATGTTGAGCTCACGATGTGCGCCTTTTCACCCAGTCTTCGGTCTCCTAGTTCCGATCCGTCCGCCGGAAGACTTCAAGTGGCCGCCCTACCCAACTGTTCCATTTCGTGAAGCCAACACGCCTTACGCGTGAGCAGAGAATGCTAAGCCTACTCAAAATCCTCTACATTCTCGCTTTCTTGTCGGTGTACAGGATGTTGCCATGGCCGGGACGTGGACAAGGCCCTACGGCGACAAGAGCACCATCGAGCTACTCGACCCTCTTCCGTCTCTGTGCCGTATTACTGCTTCTGCTACAGTGCAATTTGAGGATCATTCATGCCAGGACCAGGCACGCCTTCTTGCATCCTCTTTCTGGGAGACGCCATTCTACCCGTCTTGGCTCGTTAGCCGGTACGACAGCCTTATCTGGGAAGGCTGTTACAGATCGTCAACCACCTCTCCCAACCACTCGCTCGGTGCCTCACCATCCTGTCCCTCAAGTGTTGGCACCGGCGGGCGGACGGGAGCAGTTTCTGGCAGCTTTGAATGCAGGCGCCGATCAGGTTTTCCTGGGGCTGAAGAATTTCAACGCCCGGGCACGGGCAGAGAATTTTTGTGTTGAAGACTTGAAAGAGTTGGTGCCCATGGCGCACAAATTCGGCATGCAGGTGCTCGTCACGGTGAATGTCCTCATCAAGGAAGAGGAGCTCGGGGTACTCATCGACACCCTTTCGGCGCTGGAAGAGCTGGAGGTGGACGCCATCATCGTCCAGGACCAGGCAGTCGGGGCCTTGGTGAGAGAATTCTTCCCCACCTTGCGCATCCATGCGTCCACTCAAATGGCCGTCCACAACCTCCAAGGCGTGGTCAAAGCCACAGGATTGGGGTACCAGCGGGTAGTGCTTGCGCGGGAAGTGACGGCCAAGGAGATGAAAGAAATCCGAGCAGGCGTGCCGTCCGGAGTGGCGGAGTTGGAAGCTTTTGTGCACGGTTCGTTGTGTTACTCCTACAGTGGCTTGTGTTTTTTCAGTGGAGAGACAGACGCGCGCTCAGGGAACCGCGGGGAATGCGCCTACACGTGTCGGCAGCCGTACACGCTGACGAGCGAGGACGGCATGGGCTTTCTGTTCTCCATGGCCGACTTGGACACCAGCCACGACTTGGACCTGCTCGCGGAGGCGGGCATCGACACCCTCAAGGTGGAGGGCCGGAAGAAAGGTGAGGGGGCTCGGGCCCATGCTGGACATTGGTGGACCCACATGTCTCTTTGAGCTTCCCTGTCCATCCGCCGCCCTTGGCTGCGAGTCGTCTGCCCGCAGGTCACGGCTTCCCCTTTCCCTTTCCCTCCTCTCTACTCCCTCCCGCTTTCATAGACGCCCAATACGTCGCCTCGGCGGTCGCCCTTTACCGGCGGCGCCTGGACCAGATCTACGCCCGCCCCACCCTCCGATCCCAAGCCCCCCCCGAGGCCTTCCAGGCCGCTGCTCAAGCCAGGCACACGCCCGACGCGGGCCTTCGACAGGACCTGGCCCTCTCCTTCCACCGGCGGACCACCTCCTTCTTCGTCCGAGGCCGGTACCACGAGAACGTCATCGACTTGGACAACGCAGGGCATTTGGGGGTCTTGGCGGGCCGCGTCCTCTCCGTGAGCAAGGACGGGCGGACCTTCAAGTTCTCCGCCCTGGTTGATTTGGAGCGTTACGACGGGATCAAGCTCTGCCCTCCTGCCCGCGCTTTTCACACCACCCCCCAACACGGCGATGCCCGAGCTGAGGACCGAGGCGTTCACGCCGCCCGGGAACGCCTGCTGCAGGAGAAGTACGCGAACGAACTTCCGGAGTTTTCTCTGCGTCAGTTCAAAGTGCAGGGCAGCAAAGCTTTCGAGGCGATGGCGGGGGCGACGGTGGAGGTGGAGGTGCCGAGAGAGGTGCGGCGCGAGTGGGAGCAAGGACATAACGGCCATCGCGCCATCCAAAGCGGGGATTTGGTCTTTCAGTCGCGCTCGAACCGGCTGAAGCGGCGGGTGCAGGCCTTGGCAGTGGTCCCAGAGAGCTACAAGGCAAGGAGCTGGACCAGTTGTGGTCCTCGC